GAAATCCAAACTCCTCTTCTGCTTCCATTAGTAAGATGTGAAATGCTTGATGACTGAGATACTGGGTTGGGATTATGTATCTCTTTTGCTCTTCTCCAACGCAAACAGCCAGGTAGCCTTTTGGGACGACATTACTTGTTGCTTCGCGTACGGAGGTATCTGATAGGGAAAGTGTGCGTTTCAGAAACTTGATGCTCTTACTGCCGCTGTTGATATTGTTGTTGTTGTTGCCGTTGCTTTCGCTATCACCGTTACTGGTGGCAGCAGCTTTTGACGTGTTTGCAAGCTTTCTCCACTTCTTGAGGATTTGTTGAAGTCTAACAATTTCCCTGATCTTGTTAGACTTCTTGCAATCCATGGTGGCTCTGCTGATATGTTAGCTGTGTGTTTTTAGACTTCTTTAACTCCCCTGAATTTGATTGCTTGTTCAAGTCTGAAGTGGTGCTTCTCATTTATAGAGATAGTGGCTTAGGATTCCAAAGGCTAAAACACAATTTGTGATTAAAATATTAGTTTGTATTAGTTGAATTCTAGTCGTACACACAAACAAATATATATATATATATATATATATTAACCAAAACCCATCTAGGAAGTTGGGTTTGTTTTCATCAGATGGATGGGTAATTCTAGAACCATAGGTCTTAGAGATGATATACAGTTTAAAATATACCCAGGATTTCATTTGGTGGCAGTGTTTAAGCATGTGAAGTTTCTGTATTTATTCATTTATATATTTTTATTAGTAGAAATGAGATTCTATGGTCTATAGATGGTAAGATTAGCATAAAAGGGTGTCAGTATTTTATTGATTTCTGTTAACTGTTTTGGTTTCCAAGCAAACCGCCCCAGCAGTCAAAGGGCCTCGTACAGTACAAAAGTCCTAGTTATTTTATTATCACTATTTCAAGGGCTGGATGGCGGTCTGTTGTAATTAACACTTGAAGGAAACCCATGTGGAAGTGAAAGTGCTTCTTCACGAAGCAAGAAAAAAGCTCTTTGTAAGAAGCTGCTCTGTAAATTTTTCCTTTTGATTTGAATCAATAAGCATAAATTCACAACCTATTCATACCCTTCTTCTGTTTTGAAACTCTAGAGCTTTAGGACACCTTTTAAACTTTTAATCTGTCATAAAAATATCATTTTTAGATATTCTGCCATATGAAGTGAGCATCTTTTAGGTTCCTACATGCACAATACACATATGTATATATCTTTGAATGTTACTTTCATTTCACTGCATTTAATATCTGTATATAAAGTCTAAAATTTGGGAAGAGACAAAATAGATCATAGCTTATCATTATACATTTTTAATGTAATTTTTTCTTTTGTGGTAGGAAAGCATAGTTTATGCCATTATTGTGAGTTTGCTAATTTTTCTAACATTACATGTTGAACCCTGAATATTGTTCCACTCAATTCATAATTGACTGTTAAAAGTTAAAAAAGAGTTAAAAAATTCCATCACAACCACTCCTTATTAGACCTTACCATTTATTCATTAATCCCTTTTACTAAGATGTGCAACATTTTTCATGAACAACAAACAAACAAAAAAGTAAGTTTGAAATTTTGTGATATATGTAGGCAGGTAGATTGACAGCCCCCAAAATGCAGAGGAAATGGAGAAATCAGAAGAACAAGAAAGAAAGAGAAGGGAGTTGTTAATAAAATATATAAAACCCAATTGCAGCTTCCTAAATCATTAATTAGATCCAAATCATTATCAACAAAATAATAAGCAATTTTTTTTTTTTAATTATTAAATAAATGATCCTTCCAACAAATCAATGTAAAATAAATAATCCTTTGACGTATTCTCAAAAGTTGGGAACCACCACTCAATTCCTTTCTGCGCCTCATCAATTGTTGACTTTTTCCAATCATTTTAAATTAATTAAACTTTTTATTCGTGATAATACAAAACCTCCAACCTAATAATTAATAATTCATACAAATATATATACATATATGGTCTTTATAAGTATTATTATTATTATTTTTTCCGATAGATCGGACAATACTTTTTTTTTTTTTTTTTGAGTATTTCAATGAAATAGTAGGAGGTTAAATTAATTGTCAAGTTGTGATTGAATTATTTACGAGAAGATGGTCATGTGTCTTGGAAATCCCTCCCGGCAGATCCATTATATTGTAAAATTCAACTACACCTTTTTATTATTTACTTCTCTTACGTTAAACATTACATAATGTGTATACAATATGATCTGTTTCCTTCACTCTTTTTTTTCCTCTTTTTTTTTTTTTTTTTCATTTGTTCGTTACAGAATTATTAAATTATGTACAAATAATATGATCTAATTCTATGGTAGAAGAATTGATTATCATATTTGGTTGTTGAATATAATAAGCTCAATCGAAACATATTTTATCCCTAGTCGAATAATGTATTTCTTTACCTCTTTTACATAATGGATACATAAACACACACACACACACACATATATATATATATATATATATATATAGAGGCTCAACTGAGAGAGGTAGCCCACAAAATAAGTGGCCCTCCTACCCAATTCCCTAAAGCCCAATTTTGCATGATTTTTCATTACCCACATCAGTTATTTATATTTATTTTAATTAAAAACTTTATTTTAGTAGTAGAAATTATTTTTTTAAAAAAAAAAAATTAAATCAATATTATGAACTTAATTTTTATATAATTAATAACTACTTAAAAAAGATTATGTTAATTCATAGATACTAGAAAATTCTAATATTACGTAATATGATGTTAATGCGAAATTTAATAAGTATAAAAATCTAATTTAAAAATAATTAAACTTTATAGGATTTAGTATAAAATTATTCTAATCTATTTTATCACCAAAAAAGAACAAACTCTTCCATATATATATATATATATATACATCTCCTAACAATTTTTAAACATAATGTCATGCAAGTTATTCATGTTGGCAATTAAAATCTTGCGACTAAAATTGAAGTTCAAATTTTTTTTTTTTTTATTTGCATGACTTGTAATCAACATTAAATTTACTAAACTGACAAACGACTATCAAATACTCAATGAACTAGGCACTTAAAATTATAATTTAAAAGAAATAATTGAATGAAATAGGAGACAAGCCCGAGCACAATAAAGTTGTTGAACACCCATCTTCAAAATTTTTGCAATTCTAACAACATCTGTTCAGCTTGAAAGAGTATTCTGTCTGAGTCTCTCTCTTCAAAAATCAACCAACTCGTTGATCATAAAATTGAGACTTCAAGTGTCATAAGTAGATCGTGAAAATTTTAGTTGGTATATTATATTCCAAATACACAATTTGTCTATAAAACTTGTAGTTTAGAGATATAACTGGGAACGGTTTATCCTGGTTGATGTTGCATACGATAAAGTCAACGACATTGCATACTTCTTTTCTAGTAGCAAATCAACGAAAATCCATGTCAAAATCTATTATCCAGTCGTTTAATGAGTTTTTCTTTTGTTTTTTCTTCATATTTTCATCAGAATCTCATCCGTCACAAGATGCTATTAATTCTACCTTTCTAGAGGAATATATGTACATGTATATGTATATGTGTGTGTGCGCGTATATATAATTAAATAAAAGAAAAACAATTAAAGAAAGAAATAAAAGAAGAACCCAGAGTATAACTTTGGGAGCATAAGAAAAAAACACGTGGCCATATATAATAAATATATATATATATGTAATACCCGGAATTAATTTTAAAAATTAAAATTAATATATAAAAATATAAATTTTAATTTTATAAAATTTTATTTAACGTAAAATTAGAAAAAAAAAAATAGGTGGATGATGAAATTGAAAGTAATTTTTTAAAAAATAGGAAAAAATTTGATGCCCGCAATTGGACGGTCCGGATTTGTTCATGCGTGCTTCAGGCACGATCAAACAGTCGCGATTGAAAGCAATGAACGGTCTAGATTCGTTTCATCTTTAAATGCGATAGTACGGTCAAGATCAAATCACGATGAACGCTTCAGATTCATTTTCTCTTAAACGCGATGGACGACCTAAATTAAAGGAAGACATGTATAAATATCTCACTTCACACCGAACCCTAACCCTAGCTGCCAGCCCCCCGCCGGAGAAGAAGAACCAGTTGCCAGATAAGAGAGCTGACCGCCGCCCGCCACCGTGCCGGAGCCACCTCCAACTGCAAAAAAAAAAAATGTAAATTTTTTTTTATTCGCTCGAAATTTAATTTTCAACACCCCCATAGCTAAATCGGAGCAAAAGAACTGGCGGATAAGGTAAAAATCACAGGTAAAGCCCGGCGGCGCCGCCGCAGGAAAAATAAAAAATCGCATCCGATGAGGCCATTCCCAATTCTCATTTCGTACTATTTTTTCACCATTGTATTCACCATTTTGTTTTCCACAGGTTGACCGAAGAAAAAGGCCCAACCACGAAGGTGAGCTGGCAGAGCTGCTGCACCGGAAAACTCACGTTGCCGGTAAGCTTCTATGTTTTGATTTTTTTTTGGCCAACCGATGCCCCTTAACATGTTTTCTCGCAGGGATGAGGGTAAAATCGACTGAAAACGGCCAGCTCGAGGCAAGCTGCTGCCGCAGACAGTGATGTCGTTGCCGGAGCACACAATTCTGAAATTGGCCGAAAAGATTTTCAACATTAATTTTTAGATTTTTGGTGTATTTTTAGGTACTTGAAACATGTTTTCATCTAAAAAAAAAAATTCAGAGAACCCAAGGATCGTCAGTAGGCGCAGTTGAAAGTTTAGTGTTTGGACACCAATTCAGGTAAGAATCCCTCACCTTATTTCCTATTATGGAATTGAAGTCTAATTATAAATAATATGATATTTTGCTTAATTTAAAAAATTTTGATAATTAATTATAGGTTACTAATGGAGTCGAAACCAGTTATTTATTACTATTTGTCATGTTTTAACTGACTGATTGATTTTACAATTTCAAATGCATAATAATACATTAGAGTTAGTAAAATGATTCAGTTGTATTTTCTTGATGCATGTATTGCTTGTTTTGCGTGATTTACAGTTCAATTGTGAAACTAAAAATTAAATGTAAATAGGAAATTATTTGATTAAGTGAATGAATGAATGGTAGCTTTATTGGATATCCTGGTAGATGGTGGACGGACCGGGTGCATAGGAAACCCTACTGTGAACGTTACCTCATACCGGACGGAGTATCAAGAATTGTATTTTGGCACTCATACCGAACGGGGTATGGGAACGACTTGCTTCACCCTCATACCGGACGGAGTATTGAGGGATAGTATTTTTAGTACTCATACTAGACGGGGTATGGGGACGGCCAGTTAGTTAACAATGTTGAATAAGAGTTCACGC